GGTGATCCCGGCACGGCGTTGCAGAGGATGCTGGAAAAGCCGGAGTTATCCTTGCCTGCCCAGCCCAGGGGAGAGCACCCACCTCCGGGAGCTTCGACCCGAGGTGTGCAAGCAAGAGCTTGCGGGTGAAGCGTCTTATCTCATTTATACCTCAAGATGCTGTTGGTGTCAGAGCGGTTGCTCCGCGTTCTCCGTAACGGTCAGCTCGGGCACTGGGGGTCTCTTGGAGCGAGGCGGTCGGGCTGCTGGGCAGGTGGTGCCGTGTCGGGACGGGAGTCGGGAGCGCTTCTGGGGCTCTCGGAGGAAGGTGCAGGGAGGTGTCGGAGAAGGTGTTCTCTGTGCCCAGGAGGGGGTACGGAGTGGCCACCCTTGAGCAGGGAGGGAGGGCGCCGGAGAAGTGGGGCTGCGCCTACCCGGTGCCAAAGAGGGGCTCAGGCAGGGCAGTGCCGGAGGGGAGCGGAGCAGCTCCAGGAAGGGGAGGGAGAAGCCCTAAATGCCCACGTCTGACTCGGCAGGACCTCCCTGGGCACCCAGCCTGGCACAGGCGAGCTGCCCGCAGCCACTGCCTCCAGCCAAAGCGCCATCAGATACGGGATGCTTTGAGACCCACCCACCGGGCACACCCTGAACGTCGCTGCACATCAGGGAAGGGTTTGAGAAACCCACCACCCAGCCTTGGAACCCACAGGAAGGCGCTGACAGTCCTCCTTGTGCCCCCTCTCCCCCCAGCTCCCACCTTTGTCCTGGCTCCTCTCCGGGTAGAAGCGAAATCCTACTTGCCCTGGGTCCGGAGGGGACAAATCCCGACTCTTCCCGTGTTAGAATCTGCTTCAGGCCAAGAACATTGTTGGAGATTCCCGTGGTCGCTTATGCTGTTGTGCAGACAGCATGTAAATGAATCGAAATGTCTTATCCATAATGAAAATATTTCATGCTTTTTTAATCTATTAGATATGGAAATATTTTTTGAAACTGAAAATGCAGTCGGTAGAATTTAAATTGAAACGTAATACATGTAAAATATATTTTAGTTGATAATTTTGTAAAATGCACTTTTTTTGTGTCTCTTCCCTGGTTTCCCAGATCTGTATTTCAGTGTTTACAGATGGAATGAGAACATTCCCTATACCCTCCTTCTGTGAGAAAGATATATTAGAAGTAATTCTTAAAAAATAAATTTGAAAAATCGTATTGATTTAGAAAACCACCCAGCGCTGCGCTCTTCTTCTCTTCCTCACCTGAACTTCCCGTTGGGGTGCAGGAATCAAAAGTGGTCGGAAGGTGCTGATGTGGGAGTGGAGTTGGGTGCATGGGGTGCCAGGGCGAGCGCTGCTCCAGCCTCCGGAGACAACGGAGGAGGTGGAAGGAGGATCGGTGGGGGGGAGGTGGCTTTTATTCTTTTCCAGTCTGCTCTTGACAGCTGTCATCATGGGAATATTGAAGTCTGTGCCTTTCGGGCAGGGAAGCGTTTTGGAACGTCGCTTTTGGAAAAGCACCTCTCTTGGAGCGCTGTCCCTGGGAGCAGCTGGCAGCTCCCTTGGTGCCATTGGCACTGACGTCGGAGCGGCCCCGTGGCACCCAGCGCTGCGCACGCGCCCCGAGGATGGGTCCGGTGGCTGTGCGGTCTCCATGGACATCCCAAAAAGGTGAGGGGGAGCGGAGAGGTGTACAGTCACCGGC